ATAAGGAACTATCAGAAAGAGAAACTAAGAAAATAATCCCATTCACAATTGCTTCAAAAAGAATAAAATACCTAGGAATAAATTTAACCAAGGATGTAAAAGACCTGTACTCAGAAAATTATAAGACACCGAAGAAAGAAACTGAAGAAGATACAAAGAGATGGAAACATGTACCATGCTTATGCATAAGGAGAATTAACCTGTTTAAAATGGCCATACTACCCAAGGCAATCTACAGATTCAACAAAGTTTCTATCAAGACACTAATGGCATATTTCACAGAATTATAACAAATAATCCCAAAATTCATATGGATCCACAAAAGACCTTGAATAACCACAACAATCTTAAGGAAAAAAAGAACAAAATTGGAGGAATCTCACTACCTGATACCAAACTATAATATAAGACCACAGTAATCAAAACAGCATGATACTGGCATAAAAACATATAGAGCAGTAGAACAGAGAGCCCAGAAATAAACCTATGTTGTTATGGTCATTTAATATTTGACAAAGGGGGCAAAACATACAATAGGATAAAGACACTCTATTCAATAAATGGTGTTGGAAATTACTGGACAGGTGTATGCAAAAAAAAAAAAAAAGAAAAAAGAAAAAGAAAAAAGAAACCAGACCACCATCTTACACCATACACAAGAATAAATTCAAACTAGATTAATGAAAAATGGATTAAAGATTTAAATGTTAGACTTGAAACATAACAATCTTAAAAGAAAATGTAGGAAGTAAAATCTGGAGCATTTCTTATAGCAATATTTTTTTATATATCTTCTCAAGCAAGGGAAACAAAAGAAAAAATAAACAAATGGGACTATATCAAAATAAAAAGTTTTTGCACAGCAAAGAAAACCATCAACAACATGAAAAGGCAATCCAATAAATGGGAGAACATATTAGCTATTACATCTGATAAGGGGTTAATATCCAAAATTTATAAAGAATTTATTCAACTCAGTATCATAAAAATCCAAACAATCCAATTTTAAAGAAGGACAAAGGACCTAAATAGATACTTCTCCAAAAAGGACATACAGAAGGTCAATAGACATGAGAAAAAATGCTCAAGAACACCCATCAGAGAAATTAAATAAAACTACAATGAGATATCACCTCATACTTATCAGAATGGCTATCCTCAATAAATCAATAAAAAAATGTTGGAGAGGATGTGGAGAAAAGGGACCCCTCACGTTTTGTTGGTGGGAATGCAGTATGGAGATACCTCAAAAAATTAAAAATGGAACTGTTTATGGCCCAGCAATTCTACTTCTGGGAATTTATCTCAAGAAACCCAAAACACTAATTCAAAAGAATATAAGCACCCCTATGTTCGCTGCAGCGTTATTTACAGTAGCCAAGCTTTGGAAGTAGCCCAAGTGTCCATCGGTAGAATGAATGGGTAAAAAAGCTGTTGTACATTTACATAATGAAATACTACTTGGCCATAAAAAAGAAGAAAAGCTTACCCTTTGTGACAGGATCGATGGACCTGAAGAACGTTATGATAAATGAAATAAGCCAGTCAAAGAAAGACAACTACCATGTGATTTCACTCATATATGGAATCCAATAAACTAACAAGCAAAATAGAGACAGACTTACAGATAGAGAGCAGGCTGACAGCTGCTGGAGGATGGGGGGACCTAGGGGAGGCAGAGGGATTGAGAAATAGAGGGAAAAAAAAGAAAAACTCATTGACAGGAACAACAGGGTGTTGACTGCCAGGCAGGGTGTGGGGGCTGTTGGAGGGTGGGGGATGGTAGAAGACTTGACTGGAGGTGGTGAATACACAATATAGTGTGCAGATGATATGTTGTAGAACTGTGCATCTGAAACCTGTAGAATTTTTTAACCAGTGTCACCCAATAAATTAAACTAAAAGGAAAACATTTAAAAATAAATAGATGTTATAAACCAAAAAGAAAAACTGATTTATTAAAAAGCTCTCTCAAACTAATTATCTTTTGCTACAACCTCTTCCCATAATAGAAAAGTAAGAAAACATGTCATAGCAGAAACTACTTGCAAAATAACTAGAATGGTCAATTATTCAAAATGTCCCTTCAATAAACTTTATGACTACGGCTCAAGAAATTAATGTTTGAGTCATTTATATAACTTGAATATTTTTTAAATGATATTAAACTTTTTATAAAACGGTCCCTGCATTTATGAGTTAACTATTCTTTTAGACAAGATTAATTTACTTTCTTTTCTTTTTCTTTTATGGAATTACTCATTTCATTGTTTAGTAAAAACAATGTTGGCGGTAAGGGATTTTTGCATAATTGGCCATCTGTTTAAAGGTAATGATCACAGGCTGCACCCTGCAAGTGTTTCATAAATTTCATTAGCTTCCTCCTACAGGGACCATGAAATAAGTAATATCCAGAATTGTCAGTTTCACAACAGCATCTTTTTGAGGCAATGCAAGTCTGAAGCTTTAATTGAAGAGATCATTAGTAAAAAAAAACAAACAAAAAAAAAAAAAACAAAAAACCTTTTCCAGGGTTGTATTTGGAATTTGAATTCAGTTACCCAGAATCTCATAGTTGCTATGTAATGGGCTAGTAATCAGAAAACCTGGATTCAAATCCTAGCTCTGCCCCACACCAGCCCAGTGACTCTAGACAAGATGCTCAAAGGCTCACTTAGCTCAACTGCAAAATGAAAAGAATCCTTGCCTCTCTGCTATGGTAAGAACGGAATGGTCACACTAGACTTTCATAGTTAGCCATCAGCTGCACCAGACATCAGGTCAGGCCAAGTCCTTCCCTTATTTCCTCAGTAAAGAGCTCTTTATACAGTGCTGTTTATACCCTTAGAGCCACCTCTCTAGAGAAAAGGTTGGACTTCTGAGTTAACCTTATATGTAATTTATTAAGGGGAAAATTTTTTTGTTTTTTTCCCAGTGATATCTCAAAAGCTTACCTCACTATTTCTCTTGAGGAGGGAATGGGATGAGAAATAGGATCTCATTTAATTGATAACTGGTGTGCATTTTATTTTAATAAATGACTTCTGTTTCAAAGCTGAGATACTTATGACATACTATACTACTGTATCATAACCAATAGAATTTTATCATGGATATACTTAACTCCTTTTAATCCAAATGGAAAACGTGCATTAATGTCTATTATATGCATAAGCATCCTAATGTTCATATGTACCTGTGGTTATAAAAATTTATGAACTTTGATAAAGCACAAAAAAAACCTTGTTAATACTATCTTGGAATTTTATCTTGCAAGTCAGTTTATTCACAACTGAAAACGTTGAACATGGCCAAGGTCCAATCACTTTGCACCTCTGCCTAACTGTTAAGTATTAATAAGGTTTGTTACAATTTGTTAAGCACTGACCATATACCGTGCAATGTGATTAGGATTTGTGGGGGAGGATGAAACTTTCCTCTACCCTCAAGGTTCTTTCTGCTGGTCTCGCAATCAAATAGACAGGACACAGGAAAACAGGTTCTTTCAGGCAGTTAAAGGAGGGCAGTTAAAGAAGTTTCTGTTGAGCTGGAAGGGTCTTGGTTGTGTTTAGCTCAAAACAACCCACATACCACAGAGGCACACCTTGGGACTACTAGTTCCGAATCCCTACAGTTTCTATATAAACTCCAGTGTTCAGAATCACCCTTCACAGCAGATGTTCTTATCTTTATTTTATAGCTAGCTGAAACCGAAGGAAGTTAAATTTACTCAAGCCCACACAGCCAATAAATGGTAGAACCTGGATCCACATCCAGGTTTATGAGTCTTCATATCCTGTCCTTAGCGACCCAGTGAATTACCTGCCACCTACCTTTCCTAGAGAAGATCAAAGGACATATTCCTATGAAAGTGCTTTTTGAATTGAAACCTCCTATTACAAACGTGAAGTATTATTGTTACCACTCTATACCAATACAAATAATTCTCAAAATAGGTTTGTGATTTACCCCTCTGTACCTAGGAACCCTGAAAGAACAACAGGTTACACTTCGAGCTCTTTAATCTCCTCTTGGAATTTTGCCTTGACCTCAATTTCGCTTGAACAGAACTGATAAACAACATTAAAGAACAGATATCCAAAGGCTGCTTAGGTGCCACCCAAAGTCAGTTCCCTGCCCTTGGGAGTCCAGGACAACAAGATCTTGTGTTTTTCCTTGAAATATGGACAACATACTTTCTTGGGCTAACTTATCACGCCTACTTTTGCGGTTCGCTTGGGCAAGCGTAAGTGAAGTGGTCACATAAACGTCCACGGAAAACTAGTGCTTTCAAAATCACGGTGATATCGAATTCTAGTTCAACCTAATTAAGGCAAACTTCGGTCCCTTTTCAAGGATATGGTGTAAAATTTAGGGCTGATTTTTCCCTCTAAAAATTTTGTTAACTAGTCCCACGTCCTTAGGTATAACTCTAAGTTATCCACCCCTGTATAATAAACTAATTGGAAATGCCGCCAAAGAGTTTCTGGTATTCGCGCATATGACGGGCAAATTGGGGCAAAGAGGGCCTCCATTTGGTATCCCCTGAAAGCCACTTCGTTCTCCCCACCTCGCCCCACTCCCTTAAGCTGGGAGATGCTCAGCGTCGCTCGCTCACCCCTGAAGAAGAAGCAGGAGACTGAAGTCAAGGTAAAGCGGAGGGTGCTTTTTCGCCCAGCCATATCTGGACCCTGGGAACATGCCCAGGCCCCAGTAGCGGAATCCGGGACTACTAATGCATGCTCATTTGCGTAACAAAGATTGCCCTGGTTTGCAAGAAACCGGATCTCCGAGCATTGGGAATGCGACTTTCTCAGCTCCTGGGACTCACCTTTCCCCTACCGGGTAAGTTCCTCTCCCTTCCCCTGGTGCACTCCCCGCCCTGGGGTCCCGCTGCGTCCCCCGTGGGTCTCAACTGGCCGGGCCAATTTCCGCCAGCGCCGCGGGTGGGAGAGAGGGGAAAGGGCGCGAGAGGCTGAGCCTGAGCACCTGGCCCTTACCTCGGAAGGCGCGATCTCGAACACGCTCGCGATCTTGGTGTAGAGCTCCCGGATGCTAGAAAAATTCTCCACTCGCCCCGTGGCGCTGCCGTGCGCTAGCTGCGTGTGGAAAACCATCCTGGGTCGGGCAACCGGGGGCGCCGGGAGCCTGCCGCGGTCCGCGGTCGCCTGCTCGCCCTCCACTAGCCGGTATGTCTCCTTGGACTTGCCCATCTTCTTTACCCGTAGCCCCAGGGGCATCTTGCCTGGCCGGGGGCGGGGACCCACTTGCGCTGCTGACCTCCGCTGCTTCGGTCGGGCGCCTCGGAGTTTGCACTCGCGGCCCCCGTCTCCACGCAGGTGAAAGCGGCCGCTGGACCAATGACAGAGGTGCTTCCGCTTGGTCGCTCCGGGGCCGGGCCCCTTCCTCCACCCAGAGGAACGACATCTGGACCCTGAGCAGCCGTCTGTCATCCCTCCCGATGAATATGGAGAGAAGAAAAGTTGCATCCATTCCCGCTCTCATCTCCAGGTTTCTCCCCAACTCCCACCCGCTTCTTTTAAAGATGGCTCGATTTCCTTAAAACTTGGGATGCTGAAGCAATAGAACAAGTCTTAGAACACAAACGTGCTGGCCTTTTGGGGAGCCATTGGGGATATGAATTTAAGTTCAAATCCACCTTCATCTGCCTTCTATGTGCCTTACATCCTGCAGGGCAGAACTGGAAGGAAGCTTTGAGATTAAATTCATGCTCAAATACTCTCAATACCTCTCAGTAACCTTTTTTTTTTCCTCTCTCTCTTTTTCCTGGGAAGCTTCCTCCCCTAAACTTTCCGCACTCTCCCCAAGTCATTTGCTCCCCTTCCTCCCTTCTAGGTCTCTGCTGTGGACCCTGCCTAGGGGTCCTACAGAGAATGTCACCGTTGTTGACTGTGATGTGTGAGCTCTCTTAATTCCCTACCCCTTGTCTGTAATTCCACCCGTCTCCCCTCTCCAAACTAGGAAGAAATCTCTTTTTATTTGATACTTAATCTATCTTCACTCCTATGGATAGCTATTTGTAAACTACCTGTTGACTCCTGTCTTTCCATAGCTGATGCCTCATTGGTAGTCAAAAGCCCTCATCTCTTACACTGTTTTCAAGTCCTCCATTCCTGTAGTTGCCTCTAGCTACATTTTCAAAACAAAGCAAGCCATTCTTGAATTACTGGCTGCATTTCCTCATTTCCTCTTTACTCTTATTAACCTTTAGACTCGCTTTAATCAGACTTTGTCTCCACACTCCACTGAAATTGCTCGTACTGTAATCAGTGCTTCTTCATCAGATAATTCACTCTTCTCAGTCTTTATCTTCTCCTTTAAGAGTGTCTGACTGCAATAATCATTTCATTCTGAAATCAAGCCTTTGTTTTGACTTCCTTACCTGTCCCCCTCTTTGCTCTTCTACAGAAACTATGTTCTCCCAGACTAGTTTTCTTTGGCCATCTTCTCTTTTTTGCCTGCTGCTCTCCGCAAATGACTACATCTATTCTCTTGGTTTCAGTACTTGACCTTGGTTTTTTGTTGTTGAACTCCAATTTTATATCTGCAGTTCAGTCTACCAGAAAGGGAATCTACTGCGGAACACAAACTGAGACTGTACAAACTTGTCCATTCTCCTGAAAGCTTCGTTTTATTTTTTATTCCTGATTTCAGTAAATGAGGTCACATAACCAGTGGCCCAGACCAAACATCTCTGAGTCACCAAACCAAGTTTTTCCCTTTTCCCTCACCTCTCACATCAATTCAATTCTGGAAATTCATGTTTCTCAAATTAAGGTTAGTAGATGTACTGGCAGAGGGGAGAGGAGCCTATTTTCTTTAGAGTAACTTTAAAATGTTTGTGTTTTATGTTTCTGTGACTTAAAAAAATAATATAAACATATTCTGGTTCATACTCACTGAAAATGGAATACTGCTACAGGAGCTCAAGGCCTGAATTTGCCTTTGTGTTTATGATTGCCATAAAACCAAATACTATTACTTTAATTGCCTTAGGCTAATGAGAAAAGAGCAGAGAAAACCTAAAAAGTAAATGATGCATTCCTATTGAGTGAGAGCCAAAAGACTTCACAATGTAGTGTATGGATAAAAAGTTTACTAAAGTTTGATTAAAGAAAAGTAGGAAGAGAAGGGAGTCATCATAGGATATTTGGCAGGTACATTATCAATACCTAAACAATATGAGAGAATATAAGGGGGTGTGAAATTAAGAATAACTTCAAAAAGAAGAATGTCTATAAGCTGTGTCAAATAAAATATTAAATAAATAGGGCAAAACTGTTGGCATATGGTAGGAACATTAAAATCTGTAGTCTTTCAATCCCCTTTAATTTCCTTTTTTATTTTCTCTTTAATTTCTAAATCCTGTTTTTCTTTGTCTAGAAAGTGAAAGTTTCCCTCAAGGCCTACATCAAGTTGACAATATCTGTAAATCTCATTTAAAGAACCAGCTGTATCAGCTGTATTTATAGAAGGAAACATATGGTATACTCAAGACTAGTTGGCAATTGTTTAATAAAGGAACTGGCAGGTGGTGGTCAAAGTGTACTCATAACATAATCTGACCCAGTGTTACCATTATACAGGAGCAACAGACGTGCCTGCTTCAGCCCTACAAGGTACACAAAGCCCTATAATGTAGACAGTCCAGAGGGTCAAGGGGCATGGCCACCCAGAACTCATGCCCTTCCTTTGAGGCCATGTTCTGGATACCCGGGATCCTGGATTTCCCTGCCCAAATGGCCACAAGTCCGCTTCCAGAAACTGCATAGGCTTTCCCAGGGTCCAGGCAACCAGCACAACTGGTGTGCACAAGCCTATGCCTGGGGGTAGCCAAGGAGCAGCTCTTTGCCTGGGTGGAAAGGGAGAGCTGTAACTGACCAAACTGGGACCCATCTCCCTGTTGCCTTGATACACATCCCAGCAACTGGTGTTGAAGGAATCGGGGTTTTATTTACAGGATTCGAACCTCAGGGAAAGGAGGGCTGAGAGCGCTCTTGCTCAGAGCCCTATTCTCCCACAAGACCCAGCACTTCCCTTGTTCCCAACCAGGCTGGAAGCCAAAAACATGCTCAAAAGTTCCCCCATATTCTTATCTGTTCTTACGCCAGCGGTGCAAACAGTTCTCAATCCCCTCAGGATGGTACACTTGTGGGTTTCAGAATCATCACCCTTTCACAGCTGCTCTCTCCTTCAGGATCTGGGGTACATTGTCCTCAGGCTCCGTGTAGGAGTCCAGGAAACGTGCTATAATACGCTGGATCATGGTGGAGTCCAGGGAGGCACACGTCCCAAGAGATTGGCTTCTCCGTATGTCTTTCGGAGAAGCAGAAATCTGCATTCCTGGTCACAGTTCAGTTCCAAAGCAGCTTCCACAAATCCGTGCTTGGTTGGGCTGGTTCCCACACAGCTCGGCTAGGTTTGCCAGATCCCTGCACAGCTCCATTAGCTTTCTCCTTACACCCTTTCTTGAGCCCACATGGCTGCCTTCCTCACTACCCCAGATTCCAGGTAGCATAGAGGAACCCTGACTCCCAGCCAGCATGCCTTCTACCTTACTCATCAGCCCTCATGGCAGACCACTTCACTACAAACAATAATTGCTTGCCTGCTTCCTCCTCAGACCTCATGGCCAGATACCCCTACTTCATGGCTTCTTCCTCACAGCTGCCTCCCTACTCTTTCGCCCTCATGGTGGAATTCCCTTCTTTTTCAGTCCAAACTTATTTTAAATGCTCAGCCAAGACTTCGTATATGTCCGCATATCTGGCCCCTCCTACAATGTGCTACTTTTGCCAGGCCCCCTGTATTTTTTACCTTCTTTTGGCTGCCATGTATAGTCAGGACAAGAGTTCTCGGTGACACATGGACATCCACCTCCCTGCCTCTTGCACAGGCGCTGTATGAGCTACCCCCACCCATGTCATGAGTTACTATTTATTTTGAAAGTCAGTGTGCCTTTAGCCCTGGGTGGCAGCATAGTTATTAACTTGCTTTTTGTTATGCAAAGTATCTTAGGCAGTGTCATCTGCTCCCCCTTCCCCCAATTGAGGGCTGTGTGGATTTTTTTCTATATTTTGGGAACCCCCCCGCCCCGGTTTGCCCCGCCATTACAGAGTGGCAAAAGAGAACTGGGTAAGAAAAGACTGGGGTAAGCTGCAGGCAGAAACCTGTTTATCCCCATGTCTACATTCCAGCATGGAGCGCTGATGAACTGTAATTAGAACTTGGCCTTTCAGATCACTACGAAAATAAATTGGTCAGAATAGGAGAACAGAACATATTATTTGATAGTTTGTTTTTAAGCAATTAGTTTTCAATAGTTGGATATGGTATCTGGGCCTCCATATGTACTCTTGACCCAGGTCCCACAGATGAGAATGACCTCATTCTCCCTCCCTCAGATCACCTACCTAAACTCAACATTGAACTTATTCAGATGTTGGGGTCAAGGGGAGTCTCTGTTGATATGGCCCAGGCTACTGATGCCTCCAGAAAACACCAAATTGGGCACACCAGCCTACCTAACTCCTCATTTTCCTAAATTCCTAATGCACATCTGTTATACTAGGAATAGTTCTTTACAACAGATTTTTGTATTTTCAAGTATGCTTTTTTCACATATGGTAAATTGTCTACCTAACCACACAGTTCTTTGATAGTTTGGGAGCAAGAAATTTTGCTCTACTCTCAGGGTTCTTTTGGCTGGTCTATTAATCAAATAGACATGAGACAGATTAACAAGAGAAAATAACCAAATTTAACACATAGGTACACATGGGAACCCCACAATACATGAGAGGGTCAAAGACAAAGGGAAATTGAGGTATGTATGACATTCTGAGCTAAGGATCACCTTGGGCCTTCAGAGGGGAGGAAGAGGAGGGTAAGAAGAGCAGATGTTCGGTAATTGAGAAGTTTGCCATACACTATAGATGGGTCAAAAATAGCTATCTCTGATAATCTCTTATTATGGGCAAGGCCCCTAATTCAAATTCTTACAAGTGGTTAATGGGAATGGGGGAAGTTTCCCTGAGCCTTCGGTGTCTTGGATTCCTTACCTCAAAACAATCCGCAAAAGCACATCTTAAGAGCAACTCATTCTGAATCCCAACAATAGAAACCATCTTTCATATTCCTCTTAAATATCCTTTCCAGATTCTCATATAATATTATGTATGTAATAGATATCAGTAAAAAAGGATTGCATAAAATAAGGTGACCTTTGTTACTACCTAAGATAAATAAATTAACTACAAGTAATCAAAAATATTGTCTTCACTTTTGTACAGTTCAACCTAGATTACTGACCTACAGTATTTCCACTCAGTAACATTTGGTGTTTCTAACAGCCTAAAAATATCAACTATTCATGAATCTAAAAAAATACTAGGATTAAATTAATATAACCTTATATGTTTGCCAAAAGCAATAATATTACCTTGTTTATAAGAAAACATGTAGTCATCAAATGAATCCTAAGATAAATTACTAATTTATTTTCCCAGCAAATATAGCCTCTCATTAAAACCTGTAACATTAGTTCTAAAGAAATGCACACTGCCCACAGCCCTCAACATCCTTCCCATCCTCCACCCCAGTTATGTATATACCCAGCAAGCAAAGAGTTGGAAGGAAAAAAAAAACAGGATGTGTTAAGTTGTCTGCAGTTTTCTCTGGAACTAAAGACAGCATGTTTTATAGTTGCATGGCAACAATAAACAATGAAAGATGACTGGTGGGCAAGGAAATAGCCCTTAAATAGCTGAAATTTAAAGACTTTTTAAGGAATAATTGGAAATAGAGAACTGGAAAATGGGAAGAAGAAGTGGAAGTGAGGTGATACAGTGGGAAGTATAAAGTTAATAATTAGTAATAATAAGTAGGTGTTTACTGAGCCCCTACTGTGAGTCTGACTTAATGCTCAGTATTTCACATGCATTATTATCCATGGATATTTGGAGAACACTGTATGGCAAGGAATCCAAATTATTCTACATCTCCAAGGTTATGGTAAATAAAATAGTAAAGAAGCAAGAACAGAAAGCTAATATAATATAAGTTCTTCTACATAACATAAATATGGAAGGGCTGCATGGGATCTAGAAAGTAGCCACATTCAAAAGCCACATATTTTAATCATTCAAGAACTGTATACAAAACTGAAAATAGTAATTAGTTGACATAAGCTTTTGATGGTTCTTTAAGATTTGGGCAAATAATTTCTTTTATACAGTACCCAAATAGTACCTAGAGTAAAACAAATATTTTTAATGAAAACAATAACCTAAAAAAAACCTCTAAAGATAATCATAACGATTTTAAGGTCAAGATATAGGAAAGACAAAAAGAAATCTAATTTCTGTAAGAAAAAATATTCACATAAGAGGAGAAATTCTAAAGTGATGGTGTTATATACCAAACATGAAATCTGGGGTCATTCTACTATCCATTTGCTGGAGGGAAAGGCCAAAGTTTGTCAGGACCTACGAATCATTAGCTGATGATGAGATTATTGTTTCCAACTATTCTATTTTAAACTTGAAATACATGCAAAAGAGAGGTTTTCAAATATGCCAAATATTTTTTCATTTTGTTCCTTGGTTTTATTGGAAAAATTATCTTGGTAAATGTCATCCGAAAGTATTTTGCCACATTTGGTAATTAAAATTAGAACATTGAACTTACCCAGAAAGTTTTTAAAATTAAGATTTTAATCTGAAAACTGATCATTATAATATAATCTCAGTAATTTAAGATAAAGTAATTCAGGTTTTGCTATAATTTTAGCAGAGAAAGGGCCAAAGTTTGTATCTGCCAAACAGAATGCAGAGAATGTTGATTTGCATGGCATGGATATAACTTGAAGATCCAAATGGACTTTTTAAGTGGGCATCCTGCTTCTCATTTTTCTTTCAAGTCAAGAAGGCAAATAGGAATGGTGAATATATATGGAAAAATCAGCCTTAAGGGAAGTTATACAGAGATGGTATGATTTCCCCTACTTTCCATAACTGTTATAAATCAGGGAAGCTGTTGTTCAGGTTATTGTTTAAGTGTCTGTGTTTCAGATTAAGACTTCTGATTCTTGATATTATATAATAGTAGCTAACAATGATTTTAGGCAATTCTTTGAATCCCTCTTGGCTAATTTTTTTTACTTAAAGATATTAACTTACAGTTAATGTGAGGGTTATATGAAATAATCATTGTAAATCTAGTGGTATAGTACCTAGCACATAGTAAATGATTAAGAAATATTAGTTATTATTGCACAATAGATGTTCATGATGAGAAATACTATAAAATCCTGTAGTATTTTCTGTACTATAGTATTTATAGTATCAAGAAAAGTTGGTTTAAATACTGAATATATTATAAGAGAAATGTTAAAAACACTTGTAATCTAATTATTTTAAAGTATAATAGAAATTTTCAACACTTGGTTATGCTGATTACCACATTTTTATCTACTCATTAAATCAAATCCTGAAGTACATTTACTTAGCAAATAAGTATTTAAAGTTTTAAGCTAAACTGGAGAGGATTCAAAACATGGCAACTGAGTAGGTGGAAGCTGAGCCATTTGCTTGTACACCCAGCACGGATTTTCTGCTGATCTTCAGGCAAATGACCTGAACAATTAACAGAATCTCAGCTGAAGTGAATTTTTGAAGCCAAGGAGTACAGAGGATGCTTTGCACAGTCTGGTAAGAGATTTTATAAGTTGAGGGGGAAATGCCATGTGTGAGACACCTGCAGCAGAGGGAAGATCAGGCAGAAAATGCAGCTTAGTGGCTCCCTGCCCTCCCAGCACAGGGCCCTGATCCCACAAAGGGAAACCACCAACCCTAATCAGGAGAGACTTGAAAGGACATACAAAGTCTGGGAGACTTAGGCTACATGCACAGTGAGCAGCATGTTCATAGCTGTAGCACCATCTGGGAGAGTCACAGAGAGAAGCTCCATCTCCAAAATTGTCAGAGGCACTGGCAGTGTGTGGACAGCCCTGACCGAGACAGGCTTTGTGTTTCGGGGCAGAGGTGGAGCATGCAGAGGACCAGCCCAGGACTCGGTGCTGTAGTGTGGGGGCCACATTGAGAGACTCTTTTAAAAGGGGAGCTAGGGTGAGACAGGACAGGGACCCTGTGCTTGCACGTGCATGCACACAGCGGCTCTGCCAATAAGGAAACCAGTGAAAGCAAAGTTTGGTCCCACTGAGTCCAGCTGCATAGGAAGAACAGAAAGTGGCACAGTGAAGGGATTGTGGGCCCTGGCTCAGCATGGCTGGGAGCAGGGGGCTGCACAGAGTGGAGAGTTCGGGCCTTGAGTCTCCTGCGAGAGCAGCAAGCTAGGGACTAGACAGATTCATTGTAACCAGGCAGGTCCCCTAACATGCAGGCATGCCCAAGCCCACCTGTGGGACTGCAGGCTCCGCAGATCAGTGAGGCCAGGCTCAGGAACCCCCTGCTCAGCACATATCTACAGGGGAAAGAAAAAGAGAACTCTAA